TTTTGTACCCATTGTTGTGCAACTGTTCAGAGCTTCTAAAGTCTGTTTGTAATTTGCATTGTCTATGAAGTGTTTTTGGAAATGTTTGCTTGTGGATCCCGAGTGAGGCGTTTTCTCTAACTCGTTTTCTCTTTTGTGGGTTCTAAGGGACCATGGGAGGCTTCCGGGAGGTTGACCTTTGCGGATGGACATGCAAGGGTGCCACACGACTTAGGCAAACCAGCTAAGTCCGTGACAGATGGTATCAGAGCGGGACAAGCACTCATAGAAACACTTGGCATGTAAACGTGGGGGACCTAGCGGGGCTGCGTTGAGGGCAGTCAGCACACACGCGACCGTTTGGGGGAAAACGGGCATGGAGATGTAGGGAAAAGGAGTCACTCGGAAGAGTGGATATCTGAGATTGGCATTTAGAGGAATGGCCAAACCTTCGCGCAAGAGGCACCACGAGAACAAACAAGCTTGGAAGAATGCGGAGCGCACAAAGGTTAGGATGGCTGAGTTCGAGCTACAGCTCGACGTTGACAACTATACTTGATGGTGCTCAAGGTAAGCGAGGCGCTTGGTAAAGGATGAGACCATGCAAGGTGGAATAAGTTGCTCAGTGACCGAAAGAGTTGTGCAAAGCTCACAGAGGTTAGGAGAATTGCTAACTTGAAGAATTCGATACTCATGCATGGACTTGTATGCGGATGATGGAATGTTCGCAGCCATCCCAAGGCGATCGAAACTCGACGCCATGGAGCATTGAAACTTTCTCTTCGGCATGTGAATGATACGTCCGTAGGAGGCTGAAGTGTGCAGCGAGTTCGAAGAACGAGCGACGGACAAGTCCCGACGTCTCGCAAAAAGGGGAAGCTTTACAAGCAATTCAGCGAGCACCTTGCGTGCACAAGAGAAAAGAGGGAGAGGAGGAAAACAAGGACTTTAGAGGGTTGAACGAACAGTTGCAAGTCCACAAACAGTTGCTCACCGGGTGCCGAGCACGACAACAAGTTCCCGTCAAGGTAACGTGCGAACGTGCGAAAGGTTGTTCAACGCCCGACACTATACCGAAGCCCCATCCCCCATGGTGCCACCCGGGTGGTTCCAGGGTGTTGAGATGGCTGACGTTTCGCGTGCAGTAGCGGGCTGCAGAAAACAGCTCGTGGCACGCGAAAACGGAGCTGTTTTGGACTGTTTTGGGGTTGTTTTGCTTGGTTCGGTGAGCGGTCGCACTGTAGCACTGCAACTTGTTCGAACTTACATTTTTACAAGCAAAAGGACTTAAAACCAAGCCAAAACATGCTGCCAAGCAACTGTACATGTAGGTGAGAGCGACGAACGGTTCGTTGAACAGAGTTGTTGCGGGTGTGCGACGATCGTTCGTGACAATACACCACCCTCAAACTATGTAGATGGAACCATTGACTCCCCAATGTCGTCGTCATTATCAGTCGAGTTACTACTGTTCACGTCACTGCCACGTCTCTAGACCAAACGGGTTACTGAATGTGATTGAGAATGTGTCACATTGCCCAACTTGATTCTTTCCAATGGTGTGACTGATGCTACTCTCTTTGCCTTTGCCTTTGTATGTTGGGCATCTTTAGTTCCTTGAGTAGTCTGTCTCAATGTTGTCCTGCTCCTTCTGTCACGTTCTGACATAGGGGATCTTCCTCCTGTTGGGGATAATATGCTTCCTTTTTTTCTGTTGTCTCGATGATAAAACTCGAAGGACGTGGAGGATCTCTCGCCTCACCAAGTAAAGGATCCTCTTAGTTCTTCACTGCTTCAATCGACTCTAACATTGGCTGTGAATCTTCGTTGTAGTATTGGAAGTAAATGGGATCAATCTTTGGTTCATTTGGCTCCTTGTCCAACTCGGCACACCGTAACTTTAGCCGCATATTGTAGTAGAGATATACCGGTTTCTCTAACCGTCTATACGATAGTCTATTGGGGACCTTCATGTGAATCAATGCAAACGTTAACCATTTACGTTCGTAATGTCTCAATGTTGTCGTCTGCGAAAGTATACGGACAACAACCTTCGTTAAATTTAGTGTGTTCTCTCCAAATTGTATCCACCACTAGACTGCAAAAAGATATAAATATGATTTTATTAACATAACAAATAATTGATGTCAAATATAGTTTATAATCAACATATGTGTAATTTTCCCTACCAGGATCTATATTATAACAACACGTTACAACTATAATATCGAAGAATAAACCAATTGTTTTCTAGAATAATCGTCCCTCCATAATAGCATCGGCTGTATCGATAGTGTTTGGCAAGAGTTGATATATAACACTTCTTAGTGTTGACAGTAAATCTGATTGTGTTCCAAGGCAATATCAAAATTGAATGCTTTAATTTAGATAATACATTGCAAAACAAATAATTTTGTTAGTAATAATTTTTTAAATATTAAAAAATTATGAATTAAATTATATTGAATAGGAATTTACCTGTACTATAGATGTCTTGGTCCATATGAACTTCGGTCCAGCGATCGATAATATGTAATTATTGCTCGACCTTAAAATCATCTGTGATTGTTTACTTGATCTCCTCTCTTATTGTAATTAGCATACATCTAAGATAAGACATTTGAGAATGTTTATCCATATCGATCTTACAAAGGATAACATAAAGTGGTTTCACTCCTATTATAATTTCATTCACAGTATCTTAAAATCTAGAAGAAAAAAATAGTATTTTCATCTTTTTTCCATCGCTCGATCTCGAATACTAGAATCGGACCACTCCTGTGAAGTGACCATTGCCTTGAGACCCTGCCTCTTTTGTTGTATTGACTTTAAAGCAATGAAATTTGTGACAAGCCAAGTGAGTCGGGTTAGAGTATCTCACCATTTGTATACTTTTGTATCAAATACTGAACCTAATAATGATTATATAAAAACTTTGTAATCGACTATGCCCAAGCTACACTATTGCTAACTTATGGTAATTCATTAATATCCTTCAACATTAGATCTATGCAATGAGCTGCACATGGAGTCGAAAACAATGTTGTTTTTTTTTCCATCAATTGTAAATCGACCTTTTTGAAATTGGCTCCATTGTCGATGACTATCTGGACAATGTATTATGGTTCAATCTTCTCTATCATTGTGTCCATTAGGTTTTTAATATAGTTTGCATCTTGAATCTTATCGGAAGCATTAACTAACTTATGAAAAACCACCTATCTATTGCAATACACAAGAAAATTGATAATACTCATTCTTATTGACCCTGTCCAATACATAAGTGTTACCTCATATTTGTCCCATTGCATCTTGAAGGATTTAATTCAATCCTTCAGTTCTGCCACCTTATCTAAATATACGTCATGGATCTCTTTCAGTGTTGGAGGTTAGATCCTCGTGCCAGCCTTTTGAATAGAAGAGATCATGCTTTGATAATATGGATCTTGGACTGTGTTTGCAGGAATCCTGTAGAAGTTGAACCATTTAGCTATTGCCTTCCCAACATCCTGTTTCTTTCTTTTGTATATGTATCGTCAATTCGTGTCTGCTTCGTTGTTTGTAGAGGATATGCTTACAGATCAATATCAATAATATCTAATGTTGACATGCTACCAAGTCATCTGATAAAACCATGGATTCTACCCTGCTTCATGCTACTAATCCGGCTCAATTTAGGAGGAGGTGCAATTGGTTGCCTCATGCTGGTCGACCTTTGGAATTCCTATGGCGTAGACCTACTACCATCGTCATGTTCCCATTGAGTTAGGTTGTTGATAACTCATTACTTCCTCATACATGTACTTATGCTCCAATGATGCACGAATACCATCGTCGCGACCCTCATATTCATCATAAATTGGTTCTTACATAGCCCTGTAGTATTCTTCCTCAGCTCTTACATAGACCTCCATCGATACCTTCTTGCATTTTGCAACATTAAGATACTCACCGATCAAATATATCTTTGTCCAGGTAATTCCTCCGACCTTACCGATATAGTCACAATAAATGCATTGCCAATAATGATGGTTTTCATCTATATTTCGAGCATGATCCCAAGCATCATCATGTGTCTGTTCCTTTGGTACCATGTTCCTACCAAAGTTGAATCAAATAAACAAATTGCGATTAGCACTAATTTGAAATAACAAGGTACGATTATACGTAATATATTTTATTTTGCCACTATAAACATGTCATTCAACCTATTCGGCATTAAATACATAAAATTTACTCAATATAGGTCAAATTATGATGAATTCATAATTAAATACACTAATAATAATATAAAAAACACTAATTACTCTCTAATTAGCCCTCTCTTACCATATTAAACATGTTAAATACTCTAATAATTATTAAATACATAAAATTGACCCAATAAAGGGTGAAATAACGATAAATTTATCATCAAATACACTAATTACATTAGTAAAAAAATAATTAAACCCTAATTAGCCTTATTTTACCACTGTAGGTATATCAAACATCATAAGAGGCATTAAATACATAAATTTTAGGTCAAATTATGATGAAATCATCATTAAATATTGTAATCACAACAGTAACATAGTTAATTACTATCTAATTATTCATTTTCACTACTATAAACATGTTAAACACTCGAATAGGCATTAAAGACATTTAATTGACCCAATATAATTTGAATTTCAATTAAATCAACATTAAATACACTAATCACATCATTAACATAGTTAATTGATCCTTAATTAGTCCTCTTTGCCACTTAATCCTTAATTAGTCCTCTTTGCCACTATAAACATGTCAAACACCTAATAGGTATTAAATACGTTGACTGTTTGCCACTATAAAGAGGTGAGGAAAGAGTTTAAAAACCTTTTTAAATGGATTTGACCATTGGAATTGGTCAGAACCGAGTCGTCCGTTGGTAATGGTTGAAATATGACCATTACCGACCGGTACAGGTTGATGACGATCGAATTTCGATCATTCCAATTGGTACAGTCCTCGTATCAGGTAATTCGAAGTCATTCAGCATATATCACCTAGTACAAAGTGGTTTGCGTATTGGTCCCTTGTCGGACCAGTATGTATCGTTAGTACTGGGCGATATACCATGGTACGATAAACTCTGCATTGTGCCATCCTTTTTAACCTGACATTCCTTTTCCATTTGTTTACATGCGACCACAGTTAGAATATTTAGTTTGTCCTTTGGCATGTAAACTGTACTGTAGAAGGAGAAAATTTATTGTTGGCATGTGTTTTTAAGCACCTAAAAGTGCTTTACTATCTTGTAGGAGTATTGAGTAACTTATTCTCATATATGAAGCATATTTACTCAGATTGCTTACTGAACTATGACCTTTTCCCTGCATGTTATCTTGCCAAGAAGCTTCTAATAAATAAGAAAGAAAGGGGAAACAGAAGGAAAAAGAAAAAAGAAAAGACAGAAACGAAAAGAAATTTTTGCTTATTAAAACTTTTCTAGAGAGATGAGTACAAGAAATATGTTAATTTGCAAATGTATGTTAGAAGTTATCTAGTGTTAGCTGACAAGGTGAAGCTTGTCTTTTTTTCTTTGCAAAGAAATACCTATGTTCAGCTAAAATTGATTTTGCAGGAGATACGAGTTCATTGGGATTGCAAACTTGTCATACCTTATGAAATTGCTCAGAAAAAATTTTGAGATAGACATCAAATTTTGGTGCATTTGGAATGAAAATTAAGACAATTTGTATATCAGTGAATTAACTGAGAGCTTAGTTAGTCTGTCTTTTGCTGTAAAAATTTCAAGTCGTATACTCTAGAGAAATCAAAAGAGCAACTATTGCAGATTTAACAGATAGATAGGTGCTCTATTTATTTTTTGCAATAAGAACTTTTTGTGGAAATATTTTCAAGAATTTTTGCGGCTCATGCACATTAATTGCTATATGAATATGCAGGTTTGAGTATCATGCTGCTGACGACATGGTGAAAGAAGTTGAATTTGAGGAAGTAAATGGTCCGTGGAACTTTTCCCAAACTTTTGTTATCAGACTGTTCATATTATGGTGGCTAGATCGGGACTTGTACCTCACAGAGTTGGTGTTAGGTTTACCTAAAACCCTTAGATGATGAGCAGTTGTACCTTGTTGGGTCTGGAATGGAAGTCGGAAGACAATTCTGCCATATTAGGATTTCATTGACATTTTTCCCTTGTAGCACATGTTTATCTCACCATCATCTATCATATATGATGAATGTTTGAGATGAACTAAAGTCCTGCCTAGAGTGTGACCAAAAGTTGGCCCTATGTCGAATCTCTGCATTAGGGCTTTTTCATCCTTCAACTCGCTGATGATGTGCTGCACATCGACGTGGACACGCGCGCACACTTTAAACTTGCATAGAGTATCACTTTATATTTCTCAAAGAGCACTAATATTGATATTTTTCGTCTGCAGGGGGCATTAAAACGAGAATCACAAGGAAGGAAATCCAGTGAGTGGAGTCCCCACCTGGCATTTTTGAAGCACCCAATGTATAGGCTCCATTTTCCTTTTAACATTGGAACATCCTTGCCACCACCGGCTTCCATATAATTTTGTTCTCTTGAAGAATCAGCACATTTGGCTCCCAAATTCACATTTGTTATATCCCTAACCATTATAGCAACTTTCTGAAGCTGGAGTTTGTTCTTTGTGCATCCGTTAGGATATTGTTGTTTGGCTGTGTCCATTTATTTGGCAAGTCCTTGAGAGTCAATTTGTTTCAACTTTTGCCTTTGATGATGCCAAAGAGTTTCAATATCTTATTGATATGTTACAGCAAAATGGCTTTTGCTAAAGGTTTCTTTCATTTTGTTTGTTTTATGAAATTATTAGATGATAAGAAGCACTTATTGCTAAAATTTTCTTTCATTTTGTTTGTTTTATGAAATTATTAGACGATAAGAAGCACTTATTACACATGGATATTAATATATATATATATATACGAAATTAATCTTAAAATTGCATTTAAAATATTAT